CAATATGCAATTTAACTTTCTAAGGTCTAATATTTAAAAATATTGTCTGATGTTTGACGCACAATAGAAACAAAGCTTCTTAACGGTAGTCTGGAACCTTTTTTAAAAATCATTGTTAAGAAATGTTTTATTGATATTTTTTAGTTTCATATATTTCTCGAATTATTATTCAATAGTTGATTTTTAATCCAGACTTCATATCTTATAAGGGTTCCAAATTAATTTTTTTAAAGGACTACATAAATATTTAACTAATTTATAAATTAAATAGTGATATAATTAAGAAAATGTCATGAAAGATATCAATTTTTGACCGATAATTTCAAGAGTTATTTCTATTTTAAAATATTGAGCGGAGGTGAGGTGTGGTTTATGTTACTTTTATCATTACGCATTACTCTGTGGAGCTTTTCCTCCACTTAGTACTTCAAAAATGTTATTAAAATTCGAAATAATGGGTTAAAAATTGATATTGATATTTTTTCCTTAATATATAATTTTTTGTTTTATATGCTAGTTAAATATGCATGTTGCCGTTTAAAAAAAATTAATTGACACCCTTATGAGGAATAATTGTGACTAAAAACTTTATAAAATAAAAATGAATGAATTATTAAGCAATTTTGTTGCACAGTTTATATTCATATTATAGTTAATTGGAATAACTAAAATAAAAGTAAAAGAAATATTTTCTCTCACACTTTTTTATTTTATTGTGATTGATTGATTGTATTTAATTAATGATTAATATAAAAGAGATTATCATTAGCAAAATTTTCTAATAATTTTGATTTTCCAAAAATTTGAAATTCTATCAATATTTCCTTTAAAATTTGAANAGTTAAATATGCATGTTGCCGTTTAAAAAAAATTAATTGACACCCTTATGAGGAATAATTGTGACTAAAAACTTTATAAAATAAAAATGAATGAATTATTAAGCAATTTTGTTGCACAGTTTATATTCATATTATAGTTAATTGGAATAACTAAAATAAAAGTAAAAGAAATATTTTCTCTCACACTTTTTTATTTTATTGTGATTGATTGATTGTATTTAATTAATGATTAATATAAAAAAGATTATCATTAGCAAAATTTTCTAATAATTTTGATTTTCCAAAAATTTGAAATTCTATCAATATTTCCTTTAAAATTTGAACTCATCATTATGGCTATTTATATATACTACTTTTGTCAAAAATATGAGTACTATATTGAAATGATTTTTGCTCATGACCTATTACAATTATAACGTTCACTTTTGATTAAGATTATTTTAATAATAATATACAAGTTCAAGTATAAATAGATAATTTTATATATTTTTTATGTAACTAATGGTATTTTGTGAGATAATTGAAACGTGTTTCTCTCAGCTGCGTACAACGATCTAAGATAGAATGATTACACATAGAGGTTTGATTTAAGGCAAGTT